GCCCCCTGGTGGGCTGAGCTGGCCACACACACACACAATAAATAAATGTAATAAATAAAAATAAATAAATATTTAAAAAAGGAGAAGAAGAAAAGTCTGGAATTAGCGGCCAGGGAGATAGCTCAGCAGCATAAGCGCTTACTTGGCAATTGCATTTCCTAGTTCAATCCTGCCAAAAGTCCAGAACGTAATAAATGTTCAGTGTATGTAGTTAAATGTGACTCAAGAGCCCTTTGAGGGGTGCGTCCGGCTTCAGGTTCTGGGTTTGGCACCCAACTCCAACAGAAAAAGAAAAAAGAAAAAAACCCATGGGCTAGGGAGATAGCTCAGTGAAATAAGTGCTTGCCTGGCAAGCGCAAGGTCCTGAGTTCGATCCCTGGTACCACCAAAAGAAAAAAACCCAAACCTTGCTTTTCTCCTGGCATCAGTCTCTGGTTGTTGTCTGATGACAGGAGAGCATGCAGGGCCTTCGGGCAGCCTGTCCAATACTCTAGGGAGAACTGTCCAGCACAGAGAAAAGTTCCCTCGCAGAGGTTAGGCCAAGAGCTGCAGGAGCATTTAAAGCAGCGAAACACATTCATGGGTGACAGATTCATAATGGGATTATTGATTCAAACGCAGATCTCTCCCTCCCTGCATTGTCCAGCTCCTCCCCAAAATTAGTTGCTGATGGCTGCTTAATACCCCAAGGACAGCGCCTGGGGAGGGTGGTTGGTTGCAGCTGGTGCTAAAGTGACCAGCAGGAAGGTGAAGGAGAGAGCCGGCCTCCCTCGCCTCCTTCTGAGCTTTAGCATCATTTGTTGTTTGTTGTTTTTTGTCTTTTTTTTTTTTTTTTCTTTTTCTTATTTAACCAACTCATGAAACTGAAAGTTTTTGTCTTTTTGATACAAGGTCTCACTATGCAGTTCAGGCTGGTCTTCAACTCACCATGATCCTCCTGCATCAGACTCCTGAGAGCTGGGACAACAGGTTTGCACCACCACCGTGCTCTGCCCGAACTTTACTGTCTTTTTTTTTTTTTTTTTTTTTTGGTGACTTTTAAATTGTGATCATTTTTTGCGGAACCAGGGATTGAACTCAGGCCCTTGTGCTTGCCAGGGAAGCACTTATTCAACCGAGCCATCTCCCTGGCCCCTACTGTCTTATTTTTAACAAGGGAAGCAGAGCCTCTCCACTCTTGGAGAAGCTGAGTGGCGATGTGTTAGGGGCTGGCAACCACCCTAAGCGCCCTACAACACCGCAACCCCACAAGTCAGGGACCTGGTCCACCTTGCTCCCTGCTGCATGGTAAGTCCCCAGCACAGCATCCCCTGCACGATGTGACAAGGAGGACCCTCCCATGTGCTGCCTTGCAGCCCACTTCCATCACTCCCAGCAGCCCCATCACCGCTTAGCCCTGTGCACTTCTGATCTCTGTGACAGTTCTGAGGGGCGGATGCCCGGCTTATCCCTGCCTTATGAATAGCTTTCCTAGCAAGAGCTTTTCAGAGCAAGAGTTTGAAACCCCACAGACTGGTTCTAGAGACTGTGCCTTGACCCTGTGCCAACTCAGGGGGTAAGAGGTGCTCACGACTCTGGTGGAAGCTGTTTTGTTGTTTTTGTCTGATATTGGTTTTTGCTTTTTTTTTTTTTTTGGTGGGACCAGGGATTGAACTCAGGCCCTTCCACTTGCCAGGCAAGCGCTTATTCTACTGAGCCATTTCCCTGGCCCCTTTGTCTGATATTGGGAATCAAACTCATGACCTTGAACTTGCCTGGCAGGTACTGTGCCACTAAGCTACATCCCCAGCACTTAGAAAATGTTTTATAGGTAAACCAATGTAGGTTGAGCGAGAAGTTCAACGATCAGCTCAGAGGCCCAGGAGTTTGATCCATTTCATTCAGAATCTGCCTCAGAAAGGAAATATTTCATTTCCCCATGCTTGCCCAAGCAGTGCCACCCCAGAGCTCAGAGACAGCACCCCTACTCCCCCCAGAGCCTAGTTCCCAGGGTGAGGTGGTGGTGGGCCAATGTAGGTCCCCCCCCACCTGCAGCTCTGGTAAGGAGCTCTCACAGAGGGCCTGGGCTGTCCCTGACCCTGTCCTTGCACAGTGTGGTGACAGTCCCCTGGGAGGAGAACTGGGAGTTAGACATGGCTCTGTAGAGACTGACCTCTCTCACACACTCCTTTTCCATCCTGCAGGTCCTTGCCCATCGTGTGCGTCTGTCTCACGGTCACTGTATCAATGAGTCAGGGACTTACAGGTGCCATTAACATGGCACCTCCATCTGTCCTCCTGAGGAGGCTGGCATGGAGAGGAGGCAGAGAAGTCAAAAGAGAGCTGCCCTCGGTGGAGTGTGAGGTGCGGACCTGGACTCCCAGCACTTGGGAGGCTGAGGCAGGAGGATAAATTCAGGCCCAGCCTGGACAATGTAGCAGGCCCCATCTCCCTAAAAGAATAAAAGAGGGCTAGAGATACAGCTCAGTGGGAAGAGCCTGGGTTCAAGTCTCAGTTCAGGGAGAAAAAGAATAAGAGGGAAAGAGAAAAGAGAGGAAGAGAAACAGCTCTGACACATGATATTCAGAGGTGCTTGGCCTCTGCAGCTTGCCAGTTAGGTAACCTCCCACGGAACCTAAGTGTCCTTGTTGGTAAATAGGGGTGGCAGGCAAGGGTGTCACTCCATGCTCAGAGGGCAGCGTGCGCATTGCTGCTCACACCAGCCCAACTCCACCATGTCCAAGGTGAAGATGCAGCTTCCAGGGCACAGCCAAGGTGCTAACTCCCCGCTGTGAGGCCCCCAGCAGGTGCGGCATCACACTGGGAGGCAAATGATTGCCCTCCCAGCTACTTCTGCACAGCCATCCACCCCATTCCGGCTCTCCTGGGAACACAGCAAGGCCCAGTTCCCACCCTGGTGGATCTCCTTTGCCTCACAGTCTGGCCCCATGGGGGCCGCAGAGGGCCCTAGACACCTTGGCAGGGGGCTGAGGGTGCTCAGAGGATTTTTCTCCTCCTGAGGGTTTGCAGCTCACCAGTCAAGAAACCATGGATGGAATCGCTTCCCAGCCTGTTTCCCATCTCTGCCCCCAAATAAATGATGGTGTCTTTATCTCCCCTCACAGGTGTCTTCAAATCAAGAAACATTTTATTTATTTATTTATTTAGAGATAGGGTCGCTCTATGTAGTCCACACTGACCTTGAACTCATTGTGTATGCCAGGATGACCTTGAACTTGCAGCAATCTGCCCATCTCAGCCTCCAGAGTCCTAGGATCATAAGCCTGCGCTGCCAGGTCTGGCAAGAAGCCTTTGTTTGCTTGTCTTGTTTTTGACTCAGGGTCTTGCTCTATAATTCAAGCTGGGCTTGAACTCAGTATGTACTCCAGGCTGGCCAAGAATTTATGTCAATCTTCTTGCCTCAGTTTCTCAAGTGCTGACATTGCAAGCATGCACCACTGTACTCAACAAGAAACCTCTATTAAAACCTTTTCAAATTAAAATCCATTTGAGGCCATGCCTGGTGGTACACATCAGTAACTCCAGCATTCTGTGAGGGTAACAAGTTTGAGCCCAGCTTGGGTAATTTTTTCTTTTTTCTTTTCTTTCTTTCTTTCCTTTTTTTTTTTCTGAGAGAGGGTCTCACTATGTAGTTCAGGCTGGTCTCAAACTCACTGTGATCCTTAGTTCAAGGTGAAAAAAACAAGAGGGAAACAAAAGAGAAAGAGAAACAGTGATTCCAGCCCTTGGGAGGTTGAGCCAGGAGGAGCTCTGTGAGTTTGACACAGCCTGAGGGCCACAGAAATGAGCACAAGGCCGACCTGAACTGCATAGTGAGACACTGTCTCAAAAAAAACAAAAAGCCAAACACTAATTTAAAAAAACAAATAAACAACAACAAAAAAAACCAAGATAAAGACAGCTTTCAAGCCCAGGCTGGTCACAGTGAAGCTAGCTAAACTAAGCTAGCTAACCGTGGAGTAGCGTGGAGTGGTGGAGGTGCAGACTCAGGGCAGGCGTGTGTCCACCTTCACCTTTGCCGTGACCCTCGTCCTCCAAGCCCTCGGGCAGGGGCATTGTGGGAAACCATCTTGCAAAGCCAGGCCCAGGTCTCACCCTGCCTGAAGGACTCCCGCGGGCTTCTCCCTGCCCTTGGCAGGAGGTGGCCACAGGTCTTCACCCACTAGGAGGAGCGGCTTCTCTTTGAACTGCCCTGTCCCCTTCCCTGCCTCCCCTCCACGCGACAGTCCCAGTCTCCTCCTGCTTGCTGGGAGAACTCTGAGTGGAGCGGGCCTCCTGGCCCTGCCCGGAGCGAGTAGGTGCTCCGCAGGTCCCGAGTGGCGGTGGGCAGTCTCAGGTCCCACCGCGTCTTTGGAGCTGGAAACGTCAAGGCTCCCTGCCGGAGGGGCGCTGCGGCCTCCCTTTCTGCTCCGTAAGGAACTCTCCTGAGCCGGGTGCTGGTCGAGCCGGGAGGAGAGCAGAGCGCGGGCAGCCTCGCCTGCGGGCCTGGGCCTTCTCTCTGCTCGCTGCTCGGGGCCTGTTCCTCCTCGGTCTCGCCCTTCCCGGGCCCAAATCCGGGCCTCCGGGCGGCTGCCTCGACAGTGTCTGCAGCCTCTGGCCGCTCCTCCCGCCCGCGACAGGCGCCGCCCGGCTGTGCTCAGCGGCCCTGGCCCCTCTGCCTCCCGGAAGAGCCGGGTCTGCTCGGTTCACCTGGGCCGGGTCCCGCCCGAGCGCCGGCCCGCTGCGCCCTGGCCCCTGCGCTGCCCGCCCAAGCTGCCAGCTTTTTGGAATTCCTAATCGCTCCTGGCCCCGGTGATTGGCTGCTCGGCTCTGACCCCACTTGGGCTGCCGCCTGGTTGGATAAAAGGGGGATCTCCTTGGGGCTCCAGAGCATTAGACACCGAGGGGCGCCTGGGACCGAGTTCCCGAGCGGGGGCCCGGCGCGGTGCGGGGAGCAGAGATCCGCGGCCTCGGCCTCGGCCGCCCCGCGAGGAGCCGGGAGATGACGGGGAAAGCGGGGGAAGCGCTGAGCAAGCCCGCGTCCGCAACGGTGGCCAAGGGCGCCCCGGGGGCCGGCCCGGCCCGCTGCACGGGGTTCGGCATCCAAGAGATCCTGGGCCTGAGCAAGGAGCCTGCCAGCTCGCAGCCGCGCGCCGCGCTCGACGGCCTGGGCCCCGGGCACCTGCTGGCGGCGCGCTCGGTGCTCGGCCCCGCGGGGGTGGGCGGCGTGGGGCTCCTGGGCCCCGGGGGGCTGCCTGGCTTCTACGCGCAGCCCACCTTCCTGGAGGTGCTGTCCGACCCTCAGAGCGTCCACCTGCAGCCGCTGGGCAGAGCGTCGGGGCCGCTGGACGCCAGCCAGACGGCCAGCTCGGGTAGGTGAGCGCAGGGCCGCCGGCCGCGGCGAGCTAGCGCCGGGAAAGTTGCTGCAGGTGGCTGGGCGCGGCGGGGCTGCAGCCCGCGGCCCGGACCCGACCCGGGGGAGGCTTCCGGCCCGAGCTTCCCGCCGCCGCTTGGCTCTGGAGACCCCTCTGGGGCCCCGGCACTGGGGCGTCGGGGCAGCGGCGCAGGATCACCGGATGCCTTGCCGGGCCCCAGCTCCGCTGCGCCGGGCGGGGAGACCGCGATCCCGGAGCCCGGTGCCGGGCCACGCGCAGGAGGCTCTGAAGCGGTGTCGCCCCGGCCGTCCTGGTACCAAAGTGGTCGCTTCCCTTCCTTCACCTTCTCCATCCCAACGCCCCGCGCTGCGCCTCAGGGCTGTGTTCTCTTCCCCTGCGAACTTGGAAAGCCAGGCCGCGGGGCAGCCGCCACCCGAGCCCGCGAGCGCGAGTGCCGCAGTGGCTCGGATCCCGCATCCTAGCCGCGCCCCGGCTCCCCGGACACTTCCTTGGCGATGTGTCCTGGGCCGCTCGACCCCTCGCCCACCCACCCCCCGACTTCTGTGAGCTCTCCGCTGCTCCCCCAATTTCTCGTTTTGTTTCGTTATTGCTGTTTTTATTTGGAAGAGCAACGGAAAGTGCCGCATCGCCGGCTCCCGGGCCTCCAGCGGGAGCGCATTGTGTGGGCACCGAGAAGAGGACAGGGACCCCGCAGCTCCCCGTCCTTCCCGCGGCCCAGCTTGCGCGGCAGGGCTTTTTCTCGCCTCGGGGCCAACTTCCTGGCCCGGGCCGCGGCGCAGGACGGGGTGCAGAGCCTGGCGCCTCCGGGGGTCCCCGCGGCCAAAGCCTCCCCCCAGCGCCCTGAAGCCCCTGCTCTTTGCAGAGAAATGGTTTAAAATTTCAGGCGCCGACCCAGTTAGGGCCAGATTGGGCCTCAGGCCGTGCTCTGCCCGGGTCCCGCAGAGCTCGCGGGGAGACCGCGGGGCTGGGTGCAGCGAGCTCGCTCACCAAGCCGCTGCGTGTCCATCCGCCCGCTTTTCAGATTCCGAAGACGTTTCCTCCAGTGACCGAAAAACGTCCAAATCGGCTTTGAACCAAACCAAGAAACGGAAGAAACGGCGACACAGGTAAGGCCCCGCGTCCTTCGCTCCGGCTGCTGCCCGTCCACCCCACGCAGTCCGGCTCGGCTGGAGACCCCAGCGGCGCGGGCCTGGGCTGTCCCGGGGAGCCGACCCTGCGTTGTCCCCAGGAGGCCGCGGGGGAGATGAGGAGGGCATTGCAGGGGCTCCTGGTTATGCGGGGAAGCAGCGGCCCAGCCCGGCCAAAGCCAGCGGGAGCGGGGCTGGCGGCGCGGGGCCCTGCGCCTGGCCTCTCCCGGAGCCGCGCGGAGCTGGCGGGGGCTAGGGCTCCCACTCCGGCCCAGCCCGGCTCTCGCCTTCTCCCTCCCCACCCCATTCCCGGCCCGCGCCCTGTCCTGCCGACTCTCGGCTCTGGCTCCCACTCCTCCCAAAGTTTGGGCGAGGTCTGCACCACTGAGCATTTTGCTTCTGGCTTTTGCTTTCTTTTGTGCTTCTGCGCAGACCGCCACCTTTCATGGGCCTCAGTTTCCTGTTCTGTAGTAGGGTGCTCAGCAGGGGAAGCGGGGACCTAACTCGCGTGGGGTGGTCGGCTGTGCAGTGTAGACCGGGCAGAGTCATTCTGGCATCTTGAAGTAGTTGCGGTTGCAGGACATCCCAAGTCTGTGGGTGCCCACACGCACTGAAAAGTAACTCACCCTTCCCGAGTCCAGAGTCCCAGATCCCGCTCTCTTACCGCCTCGGCACTCGTGTATAAATTCATAAGGTTTTTAAGGAAATAAAGGCCCAGGAAGCAAACACCCGCCTGTCTTTCCGCGAGTGCTGCCTTGCGCCCCCGGGACTGTTTCCCCACCTTCCTCTGCCCCAACCTGGGTAGGAGGCGCGGTCGCGACTCTCGGGATATTGCCAGTTGCGGTGCTCTGGGATGCCCTGCCACACTGCTTTCTCTCCACAGTTTGTGTTCAGAGTCTTTGCACCTCTTTGCGCTTTTCTCTGTCTCTTCTCCTTGGCCTCCAGAAGGGCCACCGTTTTCTTTAAAAAAACAAAACCAAAAAACAGCAGTCCTTCCAGACCTCTCTATCCTTGGTAGGCTCTGGCTTGAAAAAGGGTGAACCTGGACCTTGAATCCTCGCCTCCTGGAACTGGCTGCTTCGGTTTCGTTTGCTTTGTTTCATTTTAAACGAAAAGGATGTTTTATTAGTCTGTTCCTTTTTCATATTCACGAAACACCTCTGATGCACCGCCCTTGTTGGGCAGGTAGAGCATCAGCCTCCGGGCAGAAACGGGAGTGGGGTGCTGCTCCCCAACCCGGGTAGGATAGGTGGGAGGGGCTTGCCTAGCAGGAGAGGACTGGAAAAGTTACCCCCAGACTCCAGGTATTGGAAAGGTGGGGGACAGCTCACTGTGTGACAGTAGGAGCTGGTAGCCCCCCCCCCAGTCCATTCCCGAGGCCCTCAGCTGCCGGGAAAACGTGAGGGGCTGGGGGGCCAGTGCTGATTCCCAGGGGCACGTAATAGCAGCTTTCCCACAGCAGAGAATGAAGGCCTCCAGCTTCTGCCTATTCCTGGAGCCAAAGGGGAGGAGTGTCCAAGAGGCTAGCGGCCTCCTGCCACTGCGGAGGGTTATTATTATTATTTTTAATTTAGATTTTATTTTATTTTTTGCGATGCTGAGGGTTAAACTCTGGGTCTCGTGAAGTGATTAACACTGAGCAACAAGCCAGCCCCTTGACGCAGCATTTAATTAGTAAAAAGTACCTTTTCCTGAGAGCCTCTCATTTGGAGTTTTGTGTAAGACTCCCTGGAATCCGGTGGAGAGAGCAGAAGCGAAGCATCTAGCAGAGTTGAGTGTGGGCGGGGATGTAGCCCGCGGACATGCCCTGAGATTCTGCTCGGGCGGCAAGCTCAGCACCTCGCGGGCAGAAGCAGAGCTGGACAGGGCTGGGGTTTGCCCAAGCCAACGGAGTTTGGGTCACAGAGCACCGGTGGAGAGGGACCTCCCTGGAAGTCATGGAGAGCAAGTGGGCCAGCTCTGAGATGAGCATATGGGGAGTTCAGGGCAATCTCAGGTTTGCTTTTGTTTTATATTGAATAGAGACCATAGTCAGCTCCCCTCTTTGACATTGGCCAGGCCATACCACCTGTTATGTGCCTCAGTTTCCCTGGATTAGAAAAGGACTAGCAGCATATTTGATTGTTTTACAGATCTGCTCAGGAGCCCTTCAGCAAGTGGCAGGACACTTAGAAAGTGGTGTAGGGCCAGGGAGATGGTTCAGTAGAATAAGCGCTTGCCTGGCAAGCGCAAAAGTCTGAGTTCAAATCCCTGGTTCCGCAAAAAAAAAAAAAAAAAAAAAAAAAAAAAAAAGAAAAAAAAAGAAAAAAGAAAAGAAAGTGGTGGACTTTCAAAATGCTGAAGCATTAGCTCCCCAGGGACAGCAGAACTGCACAGCTCCCCCTTGTAGGAACAGGCAGACCCAAACCGATTTCAGGTGGAACCAGTCCTTTTCTGTAAAGAGCCTCATCTTTCTTCCTCACCTCACCAACCCCACAATTCCCGTGACACCAAAGGGAGCCCAGCACCCTGGGTGCATTGGGTGAGGTGCTCTACACCCCAGGGTCAAAACCCCAGCAGCTGTAGCAAGGCAGGTATCACTGAGACAAGTCCTATCTGGAAGCTTGACTTACTCCTGGTTGGCTTGTGGATGGGGCCACGGGAGAAAGGTCACCTAAAATCTGCTGAAATTAAGGTCTGAGAAGGGAAGAGTTTGTGTTTGTTGGTGGATGTTTAGCAAGTTACTAAAGAAAAGGAGTCAATGAGCTCCTTAATATTGAAGGTGTTCTCAATAAAATTATGGCAAAAAAGAATAAAATATTTGTGAAAAAAATATTGAAGGTGAATTTTTATTATTGGAACATATTTATTTGCACAATTTCTAAGGTGAGAAAATGTAGCATTTTGTTTCTTTTCTCTTTTTCTTTCTGGGGATTGTGTCCCAAGTCCTCAGAGTGCCAGGCAAGCACTCTACCACTGAGTTATGCCTAAACCTGTGAATGGAGCTTTTGAAGATCTTTCAAGGAGTTTATGACATAAAATGAGACCACAGAACTGCTCTGTGAGGGATAGGGGGGCTGGAATGGGGCCCCACCCCATGCCCCTGCATAGGTCGATCACCTGTGAGATAGTTGGGGAGCTCCCAACTTTGGAGCACAGAGGGAACCAGAGGGAGCACAGCTTTAGGCAGCTCTAGGCAGCCTGTGGGTCTGGGAGGTGGTTGAGGGCAGGTGAGGAGGAAGGAGGGTAGGCAGGTTTAGGGCCAGAGGTTTGGTTCTCTGCTGTGTACAGACACGGAAGTGGAGGCTGCATTTGGCTTTCTGGTGAATCTTCAAAGTTTGAGTGGATTTAACACTGATTATAGCTTCTTGGAGCAGCCAGGAGGCCGGTGGGTGGGCTGGGGTACTTTGGGTAAGGTCTCCTGTCTGTGCCTGAGAGGAGAGGCTTTCTCTAGTCCTCCAATAATGTCCTCCTTAGCACTCTCTCCCTCAGAAAGATTCAGTGTGGAGTCACTCTGTGTGTGTGTGTGTGTGTGTGTGAGAGAGAGAGAGAGAGAGAGAGAGAGAGAGAGAGAGAGAGAGAGATTCTTAGCTGTGCCAAGCCGGCCTGAGAGTGGTCCCTTCCCAGAGGCGTGGGCCAGGGTCGCCTGCGCTCCCTGGGACAGGCGCATAGCCCTCTGCCCTGAGTGTCTGCTCTTGCTTTCTCAGGACAATCTTTACTTCCTACCAGCTGGAGGAGCTGGAGAAGGCTTTCAATGAGGCCCACTACCCAGATGTCTACGCCCGGGAGATGCTGGCCATGAAAACAGAGCTGCCAGAGGACAGGATACAGGTCAGAGTCTCAGCACCTTGGGGACACCTACTCTCCAGGGTCCCAGGTACCCCTGAAGCCTCCTCCCAGCCCTTGCCACAGGCCTGCCCACAACCATGGCCACAGCCACAAGAAGAACCATGCCTTTAAGGTGACAGGCAACTGCTTGATAGCCACCATCGAAGGTTGGCACAGAGGGTGGACAGTGGCTCAGCAGGTGTGGCCTAGCTGCTGTTGCAGGCCTCCGAGTCCCCAAGGAGTGTGGCACACAGACCCTGAGGGGCCTGGGGCCTGAGCAGGATGTCTGCCCTAGCAGGTGTCTGTTCCAAGGACAGAAGTGCTTTGATGACTGTGGAAAGAGGCAGGGGACTCCTAGCCCAGCACTTCCCTCCCCTGTCTCCCTTCCGTGTCCCATCTTCCTACCTCTCACTGCCCATCCCATGCAGCCCTGCCCTGGGCTCTGGTTCCATGAGTCTTCCCTAGGGTGGTCCAGGATGTGGCCCAGACATGTGCCTGCAGATGTGGCTCAGCAAACTGCTTTTGTCCTGGGCAGGTGTGTAGTGCACCAGCCACTGTCCGGAGGCTGTGGAGGGCACTGCAGCAGCAAGGCCCCGCCAGGTCCCGATGGCTTGAGCTGGGCAGGATGGCGCAAAGTCTGGTGGCTTCCAGGCAGGGCCTCCTGCAGCCGGAGTGTGCTGTGGGAGGATTTCCAGATGGAGCTGGACCTCGGCTGAGCTTGGGCCTTACACAGCGGCTCCTCTGAGGAGCTCCAGAGGTGGCTTGCTGCTGGGCCTGGAGAGCTCACCGCTTTTTCTTTCTGCCTGCCTTCCTCCTCCTTCTGCTCTTTTTTGGGTACCAGGGATTGAATACGAACTCTTTTCTTTTCTTTCTTTCTTTTTTTTGGTTTTTGTAGAGTCTTGCTACGCATCTCAGACTTGTGGTGGTCCTCCTGCTTTCAGCCTCCCCAGCACTGGAATCAGGCATGCGCCACAATACCACTACTCCCACCCAGACTCTGGCCAGCTCACCCACCCTGGGGGCAGGCCTGGCATGGGTGTGGTGCCAGGGGTCAAACCAGGGTCCCTGCGCCTGCCTAAGCTTGCCTAAGCAGGCACTCTAGTCCACTGAGCTATCTCTCTGGCCCTTTATTTTCATTTTGAAACAGGGCCTCATGCACTGCGTGGTGGTGCATTCCCGTAATCCCAGCACTCAGGAGGCTGAGGCAAGAGTTCAAGACAAGCCTGGGCTAAAAAGGGAGCTCAAAGCCAGCCTGAACTACATAGTAAGAGCCTGTCTCAAAAACAAAACAAAACGACCAAAAAAACAAAACAAAACAAAAAAACCAACAACAAAAACCCAGGGCCTCCCTAACTCAGGGAGTCTCCTAAACTGCGCTGGAACTTGACATGTTCCTGCCTCAGCCTCCCAGGGTGCAGGGATTGCGGGCATGCACGTGCAAGCTGCTTCCACGCCCCCCACCCCCAGACTGAGGTCCTGTGTGTTTCGGGGTGCACCGGGCGCGGTGCTGGGTGGATGGAGGAACCTGTGGATGACCTGGGCTTCCCAAGGGCCTTCTTCTCCGAGGAATCTGTCTGGAATTTCGGCCCCGGGCGTTAGACCCTGACGCTGACAGTGAGCTCCTTGGTTCCTCTTCTGCGTTATCCACAGCGGCCTGGAGCCATCTGTACCTGTGGGAACCGGGGCGTGGTGCAGGTGCGCGTGTGCGCGGGCCGACAGTCGGGGCCTGGTGGCCCTCAGCGTCTGCCGCCTGAGCTGCAGCTGCCGGGGCGCCCCCTGTCGGCCCCTGCGGTCCGTGGCTGTGCGGGGAGGGCGGGGGATCTGGAGCTGCCTGGGCAGAGGTGCTGGGGGGCTTGGCCATAAGGGCGCCAGCATGGTCCCCACCAGGCCCGGGTGTCCGGGGAAGTCACCACAGCCAGGAGGAGGGCTGGGGCGTGGATAAAGAACAAGCGCTCCCGGGTCTGCGGAGGTGGGCAGTGGAACCTGTGGGCATGACCCTTGGTGACTGAATGCTGCCCCAGAGGTGTTGGTGAGGCCCAGGAGTCCTGCTTCAAACTGTGTCCCCTGGGCTTGTGGGAGACATCCCCATGTATGTCAGTAACACCCCAGCAGTCGGGCATGGTGGTGCAGCCCTGTGATCTCAGTACTGGGAAGGCTGAGGCAGGAGGATCTCCCCGAGTTCAAAGACAACTAGGCCTACATAGTGAGACTGTGTCTCAAAACAACAACGACCACAAAAAACAATCCCAACTATAATGTCCAGGGCAGTCTTCTCATGCCAGGTATTCTCCTAAGTACGCCTCATGCACAGGAGCGGATCATCTATCTATAGTATCTGTCTGTCTGTCCATCATCTATGCAGCGCTAGGGATGGAAGCCAGGGACCACAGTGGCTAGGCGAGCCTCGCTCCTGAGAGAGGCCTCCCCCCAAGTCTCCTGTAGAATGGAGGGAGGAGAGGCGCAGCAACTGCCCAAGGCCACTTGGACCCATGTCTGAATGTAAAGCCCACCCTGTACCCCTGCGTCTTGGAGCCGAAGCCTGGCTCTGCTGTGACACTGAGGACCAGAGGTGCAGCCAGAGGGTACTGTGTCAAGACCCTCTCTCCAAAGGGCTGGGCATTAGCTTGGTGGGAAGGCCTTGGGTTCAGTTGTTATTACTGCAGGTAGGAAAGAAACCAAACGATTGAACACCAAATACTTCTTTTAAAAAATCTCCAAACCCCACTCACAGAACTTTACTGAATGTGCAAATTCATGTGCGATTTCAGAAGGGCGTAAATCAGCCTCCTTACCTGAGCCAGCAGCCCCAGGGGGGTCTTCCGTCCTTGCTGGGGCCCCAAGCCACTGTGCCCACGCAGGGCGCCGGAACCCAAGGCCCAGGGGAGCCGTTAGGCCCTGGCTGCTCACCTCACTCCCTGCCCCATCCTCATCCTTTCCTGGGTTCTGATTAGGTGTGACCCGGGCATCTGGCAGTGGACTGCTGTCACCTCAGGGCCAAGCCCCTTAGCACCTTGCCTGGGCCAGAGGCCCCTATCTGTGCTTTGGGAAGAGGAAGGAGATGAGGGGGTCAGTAGAGGCCCAAGTCTGAGCCTGGAAACTCTCCAGGTGGAATGGTAGGGTGACAGGGCACAGTCCTCCCCCCGCTCCGACTCCCACAGACCGAGGCCACCTCCTGTCTTTGGGCCTCAGCTCTCTCACTCAGGAAGGGGGACCTCAGGGAGGGGTTCATGATGATCCCCAGTTCAGGCTGCCGTGGGGGAATGGGGTGCAGGCGGGGGGGGGGGTAAAGGTCCCAGGTTAACCACAGACAGTGGTGGCCCACCAGCTAACATCTGCTGAGGATGCACAGAGGGTGCACGGAACTCGACACCCCGCTCCCCCTTTGCCTTACTGCCAGAAAGCCAAACTCTAACCCTAAACATTCATCTGTAAAATAATCACAGCATTTTCCTGGACTGAGAACTTCAGGAAGGCAACGGGCCTTCTGGCACTGATGACTCTGCCCCAGACACTAGGTGCTCAGTGTCCCTTCTGTCAGGCAGCAAAGGTGAGGCAGGCGCTGCTCTGGGTCCATTCTCTGGATGAACAAAGTGATGCTGGGGGTGGCGTCATAGCAGGAAGGGCTCAGTCCCAGACTTGGCTCCAGTGTACCCAGTGAGGGAAGCCATCACCTCCCTGTGCCCAGCTGCAGCTCCCTGACAAGGGGTAACATGGAGGGCACACTGCTACGAAGAGAAAGGATCTCAAGTCTCTGAGTTACACTCGGGTGTGGCTTTCTTTTTCTCTTCTTTTTCTTTTTTGTGTTTAGTACAGGGTTACAGGATCTCACTGCACAAATCCGACTCATAGTGATCCTCGTGTCTTCAGCCTCCCAAGTGCTGGGATTATGCAACCCAGCCTCAGTCACTGTCTCAGTGGGCCCCGGAGGCGGGGCTGGCACAGCAGGCCAGGGACGCAACCCTGGTCCCTGCACCTGCCTAAGCAGGCACTTTAGGCTGCTGAGCTGTCTGTCCGGCCCTGAGTGTGGCTTTCTTTATGAACCAAGAATCAGGATGTGGTATTCCCCCTGGGTAGAGTGGCAGGGGCCTGCAACCCCAGCACATGGGAGGCTGAGGCAAGAGGATCAACAAAAATTCAAAGCTGGCCTGACTACAATAGGGAAACAACCCTGTCTTTAAAAACTAAGCAAAAAAAAAAAAAAAAAAAAAAAAAAAAAAACAAAAAAAAAAAAAAAAAAAAAAAAAAAAAAGTCAAATGTCAGGATGTGAGATTCTGGAGGCCCCTGACAAATGTCAGCTTTGGGAGTTGAGAAATAGGTTTCTAGACCAATTTTTGTGGGGGAGGAGACAGGATCTTTTTTTTTTTTTTTTCAGCAGTTTTTTTTTTTTTTTTTTTTTCAGAACCAGGGATTAAACTCAGACCATTGTGCTTGCCAGGCAAGCACTTGTTCTATTGAGCCGTCTCCCGGCCCCGGAGACAGGATCTTGCTGTGTAGTTCAGGTTGCCCTTGAACTCAGCGTGTAGCCCAGGTTGGCCTTGAACTCACAGCGACCCTCCTGCCTGAACCTCCCCAGTGCTGGGATTATAGGCAAGCACTACCATACCTACCTCTGTTATTAGCACGATGGGGATTGAACTCAGGCCCTTGCGCCTGCCAGGGAAGCGCGTATTCCACTGAGCCATCTCCCAGGCCCAGCACAATGAGATTATGTCTATGTCGTACTGTGCACATGTCTGCTTGTTTGGTTATTCTATTCTTCTGGCAGTCATCATACTTATCGTAAAATTACAAGCTTTCCAGAGCCAAGGTCCTGCAAGGTGAGCGAACACCGATTCTTACCTCAAGCAGCTTTGTGTAGAGGGAAGGTGAGGTTTGGACTCACTGCCACTCGCAGGCTGTTCAGACTTTGCCCTGGAAGTTACAGGCTGTCTGAGTGGGGCTGGGTCTGCGGACCTCAGCGCAGGGTGCTGAGCGGAGTGCGTGCACTGCTTTTAGGGCAGCG